TGTATTTTTGTAATACCAAAAATATAAAGAAGACCTTCGTTTTTTGTCCACTTTTGTACCTTGGTACAAATTATCTCAAAAATCATCTAAAATTATACTTAAAAATACTCATTCATCAAAATCTTAATAAATTCAAAATTCAAATAAATTCAAATGTTTTAACATTGGTGGAGGAAATCTGAATTAAAATATTTTAAATAAAAAGGAATCTGCACTTATAAGGAAACGTTACTTATTACCTAGATGCAATTTGTCATTGACTGACAGATGACGACTAATACTATTGGTTTAAATTCATTTCTTTGATTTTTCACATTTAATCGCCGTGGTACAAAGCGTTTTAGCCAACCCTTTCAGTTATTTAATGTGTATTTTGATGGGCTTGTAAAATAATATTTTGTTAGTCAAGTTTTTAAAAAATTAGTTAAACAATTTTAACTTTTGTTTTCCACCATAATACTTTTCTGCACAGTCTCTTACAATTAATAAAGGGTAATTTAGCAATAAAAACATAAGATCATCTTACTATTTATAAAAAACGTTATGACGCTGTAAATATAATTACCCATCGTGCCAAACAGGCAGTATTGATAGGGATCTTTCACGCAACCTTTTTTCCCAGAGTTGGTTCTTACGTTGCCTATATACCTGTTAAAATGTTAACAGATCTATGTTTTTTTTCTATTTAAATGTGTTCACATGTGGGCGCTTTTTGATTCAGATCTTTTTATAAATATACGCTTAATTTCTTGACATTGAGCTTTCTACGTAAAAGTTGAAAATACAAGTCGACAGAGTTATAAAGACGCTACCGGTTTTTAGGTGCATAGAAAAAGCGCGAGTGCGAACAATATTAACGCCACACGCAAAAGCATATTCCCTGCGCCCCGCTAACACGACATAATTTTTCACTAGCTAATTTAATAACAAGCCGCAATGGGACTCGTCTGTTTGAAGATAATTAGAGGACACAGAAAAATACTACTAGGGCAGTCAGTTCCTTGAGTTTTTTTAACATTATATTATTTACGACTTGTTAAATTGTACCTATGCTTACTTTGTCCACATCTTTTCTTTACTTTGAAGTCTGCATTGCGTACTGTTTCAGAGTCACGTGCATGTTGTTTCGTATTGAGTTACGTCAGTTGATCAGTGGCTTACCACACGCAATAAATGTGTATGACCATAATAGTTATGTCCTTAATCACATTTATGCGACGTAGACGTAGCGCATAATCAACGTCACAGTTACGTACTGCGTAACTTAATCCATAATCGAAACTATTAAATTTTTATCATAATACATAATTGAGATATAAAACAAACGTGATAAATTTATTTATAGTAAACTACTTGGGCTAATATCGTGCTAAAATATAAAAGTAGATAATGTAACTCAATCAAAGTACTGTATACAAATTTAAAAGGGTGCACCATAAAAACTACATTTGTTCGACACGAATAGGATATTTGACAAGTTTTATGAAACGATCTAACATTATTTACTATTTTTTATGGTGTCCATACAAAGGATATTCATCATTCTCTTGTGTATTTAAGCAAAAAAACTGAATCAAATACTTCATTTTCAAGTTGCCGCAAAAACGTTTCTCTGTACAATATGGCGTGTCACTGGTATGTGACGTCATACGACTATCATTAAAACGTCAAACGATACAATAAAATGTCACATATTCGGAAGTTTACCAGCGTTTGACGTCATTAAAGCCTCCGCCAAGCCCTTGCGTTTTCGGTCACGTGGCGACAGATAAGAAAACTATTATATTTAACGTAGGTTTTTAGTAAAATTATGAATATTTTTTCTGTAAAAATAGTGAAAACCCCTGCCAATATTAATTCTTAATAAAGATGCTAACAATTGGCACTTTATTTTTAATACTGTCAAATACCCTATTCAGTCAGAAAGACAGTGGTATGGTAACTACCCGCTTTCACTCTACGCAACGACCACTTTAATGGCTAAAGGTGCACCATGTTGGAATTCGTGCATGAAAATTAAGATCCATCATCACAGTCGTAAACTTTCCTGTAGTTTACTTACTTCACCTGTTTTAATTCACGTGTTTTAACTAAACTAATCATATACTTTCATCACTGCTTAAGAAATCTACCTAAAAGTCCAGTTTATATTTTAGTAAGCTTTATTCACCCAAAAATATAATACTACTCTTAAACTAAATTGAAACTTACTTGCTATGCAAATATAATGCCAAGCCTTTTGGGTAATGTATCCTATTTCAGTGAATGAATGAAATGTACTAATAAATACCAAGGTGCACTCAGGTAAATTAAGCGTATAATATATACTTTTAGTATTACACTCCGATTATATGTACTTAACACTCTGGTGAATTAATTGAAGGCAATTATTTGTGTAATTTTAGTCTTCAATGTATAGCTTTATTATAAGGTTTATAGAGTCTCACGCAAGGAACTCGCATACATTTGTATTGTGATTCGTTCGTTAGAAATGTATGTGAGACTCCAAAATGATTTCTGATGGAGATTCTCGGTATAGGATGTTAAGTATCGTAATGTAAGAAGGGGCTTAAGTTATAAAGATCATGTAACAAATCGAGGCCGCATTATGAACTCTTAATATCTGGCAATTAATTCCTATTGTTAGAGGGAGATCGAGACAATGCTCAAGCGACCGCGCACAGCGGAGTTGTAGTTGTTTATTTATTAAATCTTATATTGTCAATATTATCGGTTCTTTAGTATAACTACACTAAAGAACTCGGCATTATAAACGTTTATTAACACAGTAACGAACGGCATCGTGTTTCAAAAGAGTAGTTACTATTAGTTGGTTTTAATATTTAAGTCTCTTTCGCCAGTCCTTCTCCACTGTTAAAAGAAATCATGGGTCTAATTTAGCGCCAAGCGCCATGAAATGTTTAATTGTAATATGAATTCTTCGTTGAAAACACTTAATTTCTGTGGTCTATTTTACGCATTATCTGTGATTGATAGCATCGAGCTCCTTGGCATTAAGTTGTCTAATAACCTCAACTTCGGCTCAACCATTGGATCTAAGACGCAAACTGCAGCTAGAAAGCTGGGCGACCTACATAGGGTGAATTGATACTTCACACCGGGTTCATCATTTTCAGCTTTTCCGTTTTTTCGGCGGTTTAATATTTTTCTAAAACAGTTTTTATATTATTATTTTTTGTGGCTTTAATTTTTGTAATATACTTACAACTCGGCGTCAAAATCTGCGAGTGAACAATCAGTTATCCCCTACTTCCCCGCCCATAGGGAGGTACGATTTTTGTACACAAATTTATGTAGGACCAACCCTTAGAATAAAAACCGCCCAAGTGCGTGTCGTGCTACGCGAAGTGTAGTGTTCCGTAGACTTTTACTGTGGTTTTAAAGTATTTTTTTAAGTTTTGTTTTTCAATTCAAAATTTACACGATAAAAGCAAGCAATTATTATTTTTTCATCTGAGTCACTTTTGATGTGTTTTTCTAAGGAATTTTTATTAGGTAAGAAATTTTCTAATACCTAAATTGAACGAATATTACTGTTAAATCAACTGACCTATCGTAACCTTCATAATTTTCTTCCAAAGTTCATGTAAAAGCACTTTCCAGATTTTTCAAGCCAATAGTTTTGCTTTTAGAGTGACGTACTAGAACAAAAAGGACAATGGCGAACTCCCATACAAATTTATGTTGAGATTTTTGTTTCTTAGGTTTTCACGCACATCACTCATTAAATAAAACTAGTTTTTACGGGTTAATGCACGAAACTTTATTTATTTATTGACGATTCGTAGCCTTTACAGGCTACGTCGTCAGAATAGCCCGTAAAGGCTACGAAACGTCAATAAATAAAGTTTCGTGCATTAACCCGTAAAAACTAGTTTTATTTATGTTGAGATTTTTTTTCGTTAATAAATTTATTACATGTAAAATTATAAAGTTGAGATTCTCGATTTTATTCGTCTCATTTATTTTATTAAAGGAAGTCTGGATTTAAAAATATTCTACTTTGAAGTGTTAGAGGTTATGTCATACAAAAACTAATTATAAAATTATTTTTAGATCAAAGTAATAAATACGTGGAACAGAACTATAGAAGTATACCGGTCTAGTAAAGGGGTCGTTAGGTAGGCACGTGCTCTTTTCTTAACTTAATAAGGCATAAAAAACCATTTCTAATAGTGTTCTAATGGGACATTAATTAAATAGGAAACACTTTTTGTTCTATATTTTTTATTCCACTTCTCACCACTTCTTTGATCACAATATCGCAGATAGTAGATACAATAAAATCCAGAGTTTAGGACAGAATCTTGGTCCAAAATCTACACCAAGAAATCGTCCAAAATAGCCAAGATTTAGAATTCTTAGGCAAGCACTACTCAACAGTCGCAGAAGAAAATCTCGAAGTCCAGAAGCAGTCAAAACAAAAACACAAAACGTACGTATACGCACAAGCAACGATAATGAAACTAAAATTCCATGATGACAATTAAGTATAGTTTTTTACGGTAGAATTGTCGCCATTTTTGTGTTGTAGAGATTATTTATTACGGGTTCCATATAACATTGAATATTAATGTTTCACGATCTTCCTGATAGATAATTAAATGTAGTTTAAGCGTAAAGCTATGCAAAATAAACGAACAACATGGTGCGGCACTGTTTCCACTGTACGCGCACCCGCAAGGTGATTCGCGTCACTGTTCTAGTTACTAGACGTCATTCGCAAATTCACTTTATTTATTCATGTAAGTACTCAAAATGTCATATTTTCATGCAATTTACACTTGACATAAAAACATTTCAAGCACATGGGTCGTCTAGTGAATTCTAGCTCTAGAAAGCTCCATTTTACCGAGCCGCTGGGCTGGGTGAAATGCGCGGGGAGGAGTCTTCAGATACCCTGTTCACGCTGCTCCCGGTGGTTCAGGGAAGCGTAACGTCTTTTCCGATTATAAAAAATGTGTACAAACTTCACTCACCAATGACATTATTGTTCTGGTGATGATGGTGTGCCGCAGCTGCGGCTGCTACTGCAGCTGCGAGTGCCGCCTGTTGCTGAGCGAGCTGCGACGCGAGCTGCGCCTGCAGCGCCGCGTGCATGCTCACCAGGTTGCGGTCGGGGCCGGGGTTGGTCGGCTCGTTACGACCTTCCTCGTACGTCGGTGATGACTCCTCACCTAAGGACATCCAAACGTTTAAAGTGCGACAAGAAATTTTATAAATGTGACTAACAGTACGCCACTAGAGGGCGCCACAGTCTACGTAAACGGTAAATGACATACAAAATATGACGTTTACAAAGACATTAGCATTAGTTCCAATTTTCGCCACATTCATAAAGTTGTCGCACTATTGCTCACATTATGGAGGCCATTCCCTCAGATTTCCCCGGGTTTGTCATAGTTTAGAGAGCGTTTGGGGGTTGTCCACCGTGGAAAGGTTTCAAAGTGTCAGGAAAAAACTAAGACACTTTTCATGTCAGGGGAAAGATAAGAGAATATATTTGAGTATAACTTACATTAATGTGGATTTTTCATATTAGCCAGAAGTCCACGGAAATTTCTTAGAATCAAATCGATTGGGTGGGAGATTGAAATGTAAATAAAACAAATATTAATTACGAATTCCGGAGAACTTAAAACTATAACCAAATTAAGAAATATTTATGACTCGGGAAGAAATTAAGCATTGTGTTCAGGAAAATATATGTGCCCCCAGTCTAGGTACCAACAGTACCTATTACATAGGTACTGTTTACTATGGCAGTGAATAATGTGTTGTCAACTATTGAATATTAACACGGATGATACCTATATTTTTTATTGCGCATTGTCCACTATAAAAAACATGGCGATGCGTCATGCAAACACAATATGTATAGTATGTATGAATATGTATTAGATAGAAAATATTAGTTTCTTGTCAAAGCCTATTACTTCCTTATCGGTTATTCTTGGTTTAAATTCTCTCACAGCCTTTTGTCAACTCAAATAATGTTTTATTATTCTATTTTAACAAGCTACCGCTATATTTAGTAACTTCGATAAACTAAACTCATATGCACGCTCTTTCACTCGTGATTAGTCTACCGTTTGGGAAAGAGCATTAAAAAGTTATATAGCATATCATATAGCATGAACAGTTACAAAAAAAAAACGGCCAAGTGCGTATCGCGCCACTCGCAGTGTAGGGTTCCGTAGTTGCCTGTAGTTACCACAATATATTTAAGCAGGATTCTTTATATCGGAAATTAGAAAATCCAATTAATATCAATCTATGTTTCTCAACTAAAATACCTATATAATGATAGTTCATTATGGTTTTTAAATACATAGTTTTTTTTAGTATTGTTGCAATGCAAGGTTTAACGCTACATTAACTTCATATATGTCAATATTTACGTTTTCTTCTAAGGAATTTTCAATAGGTAAGAAATGTTCTTTAACCAAAGTTGAACGACTATTACTCTTAAACTAATAAATCTATCTTAACTCTTATAGATTTCCTTGAAACTTCATGAAAAGCACTATCATGAATTTTTTCTAGGTTTTTCAAGCCAATGAGCAAAAATTTGCACTTTAAAGTTCAATATTTCGCAAATGGATCTCCCTAACTGGAGCAAAAATTAGTACTTTAATGTTCAATATTTCGCAAACGTATCCCTTAATCGAAAAATAGTTTTAAAAACCCCTAAGTAATTGTAAAGGACCTATATCTCACACGATGGGGTAGATGATGAAAAAAAAACATCTCCAAGTTACATGCAGGGGAGCTACTCTAAAAAAAATGTTTCAAAATTTTATTCATTTTGTCGGCGTGATTGATATAGATATCTCCACAAAATTACAGCTCTCTAGTGCTCATAGTCTCCTAGCAAAACCGGGGACAGACAGACGGACATGACAAAACTATAAGGATTCCTTGTCAGGACTACGGAACCCTAAAAAAGAAAAAGAATGCGCGTTATTATAAGAGTTTTCCCACGTTCAATCGTGTGTACAATACGCGCCACGAAAATCTTTTCTATGAATTATTTCGGTTGCTCTATGATTTATGTTTCCCAATAATAAGAGTTAAAGTGAATAATCGACCGCTAAAAACAAAATGGCTAACTAAAGGGTTGAAAAAATCAAGTAAAACTAAACGTAATTTTTACCTAAAATATAAAACTACTAGCATTAATAAAAAAGAAAATAAGGATATATATTACAGATATAATAAATGTTTTAAAACATGTATTAATAAAGCACACAAATTGACAAATTATAGATATATTTTACGTAATAAAAAATAGATGTAAAGCTACTTGGAACATTATATCGGCGAATCAGATGCCTAAATCATATCAAGATGACATAGATAAATTAAATTTCAATAATAAGACATATACTGACCCCACTGACATTTCCAATTTATGTAATAATAATTTTATTAATACTATGAACATTCGGACATCTAATACGTATGACATTAATTTAAATTTTAATAAATTTTCAAGTAATCCATATACTATTTACCTTAATCCAACCAATGAAAAGGAAATCTATAGAATTATTAAGAACCTAAACAACAGTAATGCGACTGGCTACGCGATGACATTCATACGAAGGTCATAAAAGCATGTGCGAAATATATTTCTTTGCCCCTGTCGCATATTATAAACCTGAGTTTTGTTGATGGAATTTTTCCTGACGAACTAAAGCTGTCCGTAATTTGACCTATTTTTAAAAAAGGTGACAAGTCAGATCTTAATAACTACAGACCTATAACTAAAATACCTATTATCTCAAAAATATTTGAAAAAGCCTTTCTTTGTAGAATGAATAATTTTTTGGATAAGCATGATATTTTAACAGAGGAGCAGTGTGGGTTTCGTAAAGGGAGATCAACTTTACTTGCCGGTTTTAAATTAATTAAGTATATTACTGAAAATCTTAATCGTAATATACCAGTAATGACAGTAATTCTTGACATGTCCCGAGCATTCGATTTTGTTGACCACTCAATACTACTAAAAAAGATTGAATTATATGGCATTAGAGGTAAAGCATATGACTGGATTCATAGTTATTTAAAGGGCAGAATACAATGCACTGAAATACAGAAAGTCGTTAAGGAATCAAATAACAAAATTTATAAGAAGAATTTCAGATCGGAAATATTGTTAAATGAAAGGGGTGTGCCGCAGGGCAGCATTATTGGTCCATCATTTTTTATATTATTTATTAACGATTTTCCTAAAATGATAAGCAATGACTGCGTACTTTTTGCTGACGATATCACTTTAGCTGTAAAATGTGACAATAAAGAGATAGCTGAGACTCAAATTAATAAAGCATTGTCTGAGGCTAATACCTAGCTAGTCGCAAACCGACTTAATATCAACATGGAAAAAACTAAGATCATGCAATTTCATTCTTACCAAAGTAAACCTCTGTCTGTTAAACTATGTCATAATAAGGTTCTTATTGAAAGAGTTGAATCTTTTAAATTTCTTGGTACAATTGTTGATAAGAATTTAAACTGGAAATGTCATATCGATTCTGTCTGTTCGAAAATAGAAAAAATCGTTTTTGCCTTAAAAAGGTTGAGACAAACAGTATCGACAGAGGCTGCGCAAATGGCTTACCACGGATATGTTTCATCCGCCTTAAATTATGGACTGCTCTTATGGGGTAACTCAGTAGATGTCGATAGGGTTTTTAGGATGCAAAAAAAATGCATTAGAATGTTAGATGGTGCTTGGTTTCTTGGAAGCTGCAAACCCTTATTTAAAAAATTTTAAATACTTCCATTGCCCTGCATGTACATAAAGGAAGCATGTTTATTTGTCAGGGATCACAGCAAGTATTTCGAGAAGCGCGTAGAAATGAGCAATAGACACACGAGATGTCAATATAGATACTTATTATATCAGCCTCCTTGCCACGCATATATTTATAAAGTTAATGCTTATAACATGTTAATATGGATATATAATAAATTACCTGACAATATAAAATTAGAAACTGGGACAATGTTTAAAAGTAAGTTGACAAAATGGTTACAAAATAAATGTTATTATAGTATTAAGGAATATATGACAGATGAAAAAAATAACTGACTGCAATATTTGCACACCTGCCTGCAGGTAGAATACATGTACTTACTTAATATGTATCAACTTGTGAACTGTATTTTGGCAAATAAATTAAATTATTATTATTATTATTATTATTATTATTCATAGTGAGTGCACCTACGAGTAGGGGAGTAGCGTAAAGGCTAAGTGGAAGCGGCGAGAGTGGAAAACTAAAGAGAAACAACGGTAAACAGAGAGGGAGAAAGAGAGAAGAGAGGGAATGTAATGATGGGGGTGTGATGACCATTGACCACCCCAAGGACCTATGCAATCGTTGACCTATCAGATATCATTGAAGTCTGATGATGATGTGAATGAGATTTAAACCTATTAAAGTACATGTATAGAGACAAATAAATATGCAATAAAAATCCAGCAATAATTAACCTGAATCAATAACATTATTCTTAGCGATCGATGCCGATTTTAACTAAGTCTTTATTTTATTTGACATCAACAGCCCTACCACAAAAAGTTGCCGAGTGTTGAACATAAAAAAAATTTACATAAACATAGTTTTGAAAAGTTACTCTTTTGTGCTACAAGTTACAAACCATACAATTTTAAAGCAGAGTCATTGTTAACCCTCCTTTAAAATAAAAATATTAGGGAGGTACTTTCTCTTTTTAGAAACAATCGATAAACGAAGTTATTATTGTATGAAATGAAATAAAGGATATGTTTCATTTTGGGCCAGGTCTATGTACACATTCCTAAATATAGGATAAACAATTACCATTCCCAGAAAAATAGTAATAATTAGTTTCATAATTAGTAATGGAAACATAGTAAGTTCAGAAATGTAATGTTAAAAAAAACATACTCAAAAAGTCTGAACAAACTATAGTAGCTCAAGAAATATTATGGGGTAATATTTTTTATTTATATATTACGTAAAAGAGTACTTATAAAGATTTTATTGAGTACTGTGCTGTTAATGTATTTCTGAACTGTTGACACTTGACACTTGACACTAGTTGACACATAACTGACAGTGACGATAAGTTTCTAGACTTGATAAACGCCAAACTGACGTTGACAACTATGTTCGCTATTGTAGATTTTGAATGTCATAATTAATTTTAATAATTTCTGTACCGCAAAATAAAGCAAAATATGGATTTTTTATGTTCTTGATTTCTTTTATTTGTACATTATGTATAAGACCTAGCCCAAGACCCATACAAATATGAAACATCTGCTTTGTTTAATTAAAATTATTTAATTTATCATAACTTTATACATCTTCCAAGTTCCGATTCGAGAAAGCTAATTGAACAAAGAAAAGACACGACCTTTTGTTTTAATTTATAGATGGGTTGAAACCTATGAAAAGCCTTTCCAGCGCCGTTATGAGATGATTTATCACGTGATTCCACGCCAGCGGCGAATACCATGAAACGAATCAAACATATTGGAAGATACATCGAGGAGTTAACGTTGATAAATGTGCAACACTTTGCTGCTAATTTATCACAAAATCTAAAGAGTGATCGAGTTATCAGTTTCAATAATACATTATCTTGGCTTTATAAAGAATATTATTACCGAATTCACATTAATTAACGTGACGTTGAGGTGTATCACAAGGGCATACATTGGTATATTACTCCCTACTTAAGGACACTCAACGTGATTTCAATCAAATTTTTGATTACTAGGTACTCTATTGCAAATGCTTACACTGTAATTTGATTAAAAATCACTTATATAATGAATTTATATGCATTAGTAATTAAAGAATTATTCGCACTTTCAAAATTCCAATAAAAGCATCAACAACCGTTCCACAGTATAATGCTGTCAGACATGAAACGTAACACGTATTACTAATTTTAATTGATGAAGATTCCAATTATCACGATTCTTCAAGAGTTTTATTGTTCGTAATCATAACAAAGCGCGACCGTCTATCTATATTGTTAACCTTTTCAATTTGTTCTATTATTTAATTTCATTATAATTTGTTTAATCATAGGAAAGCATATCTAAAAAAAAATATTACAAGAAAAAATCTATTCGAACCTAGCTACAGCTAAACTTATTGGACTTGCCGAATTTCTTCTAGAAAGTATAACTTAGGCAAGGCAAGGGACATCTTCACGTTTTACTTAATGGAAAATGAACTTTGAAAATATTGACAGGACAGTATTTTAGACGGATTATAATAATAATGTTATAAAAGCCTGCGCTGCGTTAAGCGGGAAGCACGGAAAGGCCGTCCGCTCCGCGAGAGATTTTTAAATCAATTCATAGAAAAGCGCTACGCGGTAGAACTGCCTCACGCAGCTTGTTAAATAAAATGTAAAAGATAATATTTTTTAAATGTTATGGGGCAAATGTGTTCTGAATTCTACAATAATGTAATATGTACCCGTCCCTCGTATATTTGTAAGAAATAATGCTGCATTTTATTAACAACTAGCTGTACCCCACGGTGTTACCCGCGGTTTATTAGAGATATTTTGCCACAGTAAAACGTAGCCCATAAGTTAATCCAGGGTGTCAGGTAACTCCATTCAAAATTTGATTAAAATCGCTCCAGCCGTTTACACGTGAAGAAGTAACAAACATACACGCTCACATAACTTCGCCTTTATAATATTAGTGTGATTTCCATATACGCACTAAATATCAACTTGATAGATTACATATTCTGTTGCTTTACTTAATTACTTATATAATAAATTGGATCCTATCGAGTTTATCTGATCGTATTAATAACCCACAAGATAACATCGCTTGTTTCGATTACAATACTCTTTCACTTAAATCTCTCATGAATTACATTATAAAACTTACAATAAATCTTGTTGAAAGACTTGTGCTACTAAGGCTTTTTGAATAAAATTTTTGACCAATATCTAGACAAAATCGACTCAAAAAGTTCGTGATTACTTTTTATTTCGGCCTGTATACTCGTGATTGTAACTAACTAACCTAGTGTTGATAAACAATATTTATTGCCAATGTAAGGTTCATTCCGCAGGCAGAATATACTCAAACATACAGATATCAAACTTGATAATTTACAGTTAAACGTCTACACTTTGCCGCACCCCCGGCGCCGCTGCTCTGGCTGATATAAAAAGTTTTAAAAATATAATAAAATATTTTTTTAAATCTCTCTCCATATAGGTGCATAACATATGATAGTATACCATTCTGCTATCGGTGGTAACATTGGTGTAATAATAAAAGGCCGATGTTTGTTTCGTAACAAATACAAAGAACATTATAAATCGGCGTCTTCAGTATTTGTTCTATAAATACAGCATATGGGACATTATACACCAAAAATTAATTATCACATTCTTAATTAGTTTCGATTTTAAGATGGAACCCGTAACAAAAATAGTCTAAAAATTACAACTTTGACGACCCTACATTTTTTTGTTAGGTATAAAAAATAATAAAGATTTTATTGGTATCCTACTCAACGAGTTCTAGACAATGATAAGCCACACGTGGGTAATAAAATATGAAAGTCATTTTTCCATGTATGGGACCCCCTTGATAAATAGTTTAATTAAATTTCTAACCAAATATTCTGATTTGGGCAAGCATTTTAAAAAAAAAAAACAAAGTTTCAGTTCTGCAACTCATTCCGTTTTCGGTTAAGGAACCCTAATAATGAGAAAATTTTCTACGTTATTATTAATTCGTTATGTTTCATAGCCATAATAACTAATATTAAGCTTATGCCGCGTAATTCAACAATTGTATAGATTGAATTAACAATCAACCAATTAATACCATTTTTTATTGAGTTAAAAAAAATAGCATAGAATCTTACTAGCTTCTGCAACCGGCGTTACTGGGCTCTCTGGCAAGAGGATACCTTTCTGCACTAGTTCATCTCTATTTGCTCGGACGGATATCTTTCTCTCTAACGCTGTAAAAAAGAAAAACTCACATTATAACCGGGCTCGGCTTACACATAGGTCCTTAAAAAGTTAAGAAATAACAGATTAGGCGATTGTCACACTACTGTAGGTACCGTCATGTCATTTTAGTTTATAGAGAAGACGAGTTGGGCCTGTTTATAGGACTTTACTATACACGAGAGCAAAAAATTTCTTTTATGACAAATGACCGGATTGGAAGACCTACTGAAATTTAACAGAATGCAAATATTCATACTTATTTGGCGCAATACTTAAATGAGTATAAGAACTATAATTTATTTAGCTTAGAAGCATTAATATCAAAATTAAATAATCACACTGTTATGGTATTTAAATGATATTTTAATATTTGAGGTGTGATACATCATAAAATCCAGTAGTGGTACTGAAAAAACTCTTCGTAGCTTCAATGGTTAATAAATATAATCATTTGAATTTTCTCTCTTGGGCGCCACCGCCCTGCTTGCCAATGCCTTAAATCCGGCTCTGCTCGTAACTAGCATGAATTTGAAAACTCTACCGGAAGAGAGAAAAACAACCAATTTAGACGAACTATGAACCGCCCACTTCGTCTCTCTCACGCTCTGCTCAGTTTACTTCACTCACAGTTGGTTAGGGTACGCGCAGTCCATTCTCTGTCTATGAAAGTGGATTATTATGATTTTTATACCTAATGTACTTACTTCTAGAAGCCGCTTCGAATTTCTCTGACTTCTTTTTTCGTTTCCACTTCCACGGTTTGAAGAGTCTACCAAACGCGGAGAACTTAGACTTGGTTCTCTCGACAGGTGGCGTCCGCGCACCCGAGCCAAGGCTGTTCGTACGCACTGTCGAACCATTCTGTTTCTTGGCTGCAAACCAGATACAATACTAACATTAAAAAAAAAATTTACTTTTGAGTTCCAAAACAGGGATATTTTATGCATAAGGATTCCGTGGAATGCAAGGCACTTTAAGAGATCATAATTAAAAAACGTTAGGTACTTTACTTATACAAATTATATTCATAAGCTTTTGAATTCTATTTATAATACAAAAACATAATTCCATAATTTGACAACAGAATCTCTCAAAACTGTTTCCTTATTTTTTGATACTTTTAGGCTATTTAAGATAAGTAATATTTTCCTTGACCGAAGATGTAAAGACATCTTCTCATCATTAGTTAAAGTAGGTATCAGCAAGATGTGCACCCAGCCGATAACACACACACACCACATCCACACAATCAATGGCCCCATTACGTCGAGTGTCTATTGTCAAGAACTGTCCGTGACTATCACAATACCAACTGGGAACTGTGAACATACCTACATAGGACGACTTTCTCATCTCGACAAAAGTATACAATTCATCAAATAAACGATCCTATTTGATCGTCCCGTTCATTCATGGTCAAAATGGCTTTTTGTATTGGTATGAACAGTTAGTAAAATAATCAGGTTCAAAGATTGTTTGATGCTGGGTTTTTGTTAATTAATTTTAAATAAGTAGTTCGCAAACAAAAGTAGTTTTGATGCCCGGGATCACGAGAAAGTAAGAGGCAAAACGAATCACAGAAAAAACAAAGCACGTTTCCTTGAGCAATAAATATGCAGAAACTGCAGAACGAAATATGTGCAATCTCTGATTTGTTCTCGAATTTCTAAAGCTTACAAGGCGTAAAATACACTTTAAAGGAAAAAGGAGAAAGCAATTTAACGAACTATCTCATACAAAAATCTCAAAATTGACATAAATTGCTAAGAAACGTTGAGGATAGTCTCACCCGCTGACAAACTGATAAGAAGAGTTCCATTTTTGTACATCAACACTGCAATTACCTTATCTCTATGTACACTATCTTCCTACTTAACATTTACAATGTTTTAACAACTAAACAAAAATAAACAATAGGACTGAGGATGCACATTTATTGGTGCTGACGGGGCGGCGGTACATGATTAAAAATAGACTACCTAATAATTACTTAAACGATAACGTTCCCAGGGTAAAATAGCCATTGAGGCAGTGCTGTACGTTAACTCAGTGAGTGTAGCAACGTAGGATAATAAAAAAAAAGGATTTAAGTGTAGGCGCGAAGAAGGCATAGAAATCCATCGAGGCGTGTTGGCGTCGAGTATCAATTACCTACTGCTTGCAAATTCCGACCATGGCTACGCAGTTAGCAGGCGTCTAGCGTACGAGTCGCTTATAGCACCGGTGGACCGCGATGATAGGGTAGCGTTTTGTAAATGGCATGTGATCATGAGTCATAGATGCCATGGTTCCGCTGCGTCGCGTCGAGTCGACGACTTGGGCGCCCAAGGTGATTAATGGATTGACGCCAACGCACTATCACTTACACAGATTCATTCGTAATTTTTTTACGATTTTTCTGTTGCAAATATTTATTCAACAATAAAGCTCAACAGGAATTGAAATTCCAAGCCCTACGACGCCGACGCCACAATACTAGCGATAATGATAACATTATGCCAATGATGAATCACTGACATACCTTAGTTGTGCAACATGAGTATTCACATTAATATGCTATTCGTGTAGTCCATATAATATATAATATCTTAAAGCAATGGTGGTTTAGAACTTGGTATCAACACACCATAATTTTTACAAGCAGCGAAATACTAAACTTATAGTGCACACTTAAGATGCTTAAACTTCGAGACATCAATTCAAGTTCATTATATGTTTACTGTTAAAGAATCTTTTTATTCAATCCACTCTTGTTTACGTTATTTAGTTACGTGATCAAAACAATGTTACTTAAAATTTACCTTTTTACGAAGATAAAACGAAGAACTGTTCTTAGATAGATCAAACTCTTGGATTGTATTTAGAATAATACAGAAATTGGAATGTTTGTTAATTTGGATGTTTACTACTCAATTACGCAAAAACAGTTCAACAGATTAAGTTATATGGTAGTTTTGGCATTCATATAGCTACTTAGTCTTTCCATAAATATTGTTACAAGAAAAATCTAGTATTTTTTGTACTAGCTTAAATCACTTATTGTTGTTATAATTGTTAGCTTAAACATTAATAAAATAGGATTATAAAAACATGAAGCTCATTCAAAATGAATTCCATTAACTTTAATACGTCAAATACTTTAAAGGTGAACGGATGTTTAAGGATTGTTTACGCGACTCCAAATTATCATGGCGTTTAGAATATACTCTCTAAAACTGACCATAAAGCATAATTCAGTGCATTTAGATCGGGACCAGATGACGATGATTCAGCTCTATTGAAATCCGAAACGTTCGTTTCCAACCAGGCTTGGGTGGATCAAGCTTTATGACAAGGTGCTGTCTTGCTAAAAGAACCATTCTTGGTTATGGAAAGTAGTCTTTCTAAGACGCTTAACCACCTTCTCAAGCATCGTATCTTGATACACTTGTGTCGATGTTTTGATGCACCTGCACCTGCTTCAGAAACATTTGGCTCAGTTACTCCTTGATAGCTAACACCCCAACAAACCATTGAATAATGCCCACGTTGTACTCTGCTGACTGCTAGGGCGTCATAATATGCGACAGTTCAAAAACATACTTATCTATAAATTGCGATAATTGAAAATAATTAATGTTTTTATTCATTTTTCAGTACCTAGTTTTTACATTTTAGTTGATATGAAAACATTGTAGTTATTGTAAACGAAGCGCTTATTAACGACCGGTCTCAAAACCATGCCTAGACCCGGGCAGAAATCATCTTGTAAACAAGCGCTTCCTTACACACTAAGCTTATTTTTATTCATTACATCAAATGCAATTGATTTTAATAAAATCATTATAAAACAAACAAATGTTGACGACCTCCGTGGCCGAGTGGTTTGTACGCCGGGTTTCATGGCTGTCGCCGACTCGAGAGGTCCCGGGTTCGAATCCCGGTGGGGGCAGATGTTTGTGTGATGAATACGAGCATTTGTACTCCAGTCATGGATGTTTAATATGTATTTATATAAAAATACTTATATATGTACAGTATATGTATTCTAACCGTTACCCTAGCATCCCATAACACAAGCCTTATAGTGCTTACTTTGGGGCTAGGCTAATTGGTGTGTGTCAAAAAAAAAAAAATGTTCGTCACTCTTCATTCCAACTACCGAATGACATGTCTTCTTCCTCGTTTCCTCATGACTGAGGTTTGTGACAGCATGAGGCTATTCCATGTATCCGGAGGAGCTGCATGTTGTTCAATATTCAGCCATCCAGATAGACGTCTCATGTCTGCATGTCTGTTTGGCAGGACTAATTACCAGGATCGGTCCATCGCGTCGGTGATCGTCCACACCTCCTCTTTCCTTCCACATGGCTTGCAATCTACAACAATGAGTCCGAAGTACTGAAGGACACGTTGCATACAGACAGCTGAAACCAGTCTTTATGTCCAGTTCATTTAGGATCGAAACGTTAGTGCTACGCACTGTCCACGGGATCCATAGTATTCTCCACCATCACCACATCTCAAATATCTATTATTTTGTTGCGAAAAAGTGCCTTCAGTATCTCTAAAGCATACATTTTGTATGAGATTGACTATAGTCTTTTTGGTTATTCTTCTGTTCCCCTCCATCTCTCCCTCCCTTAATTATAAACGAAGAATAAGATTTATTTAGTTACTGCATGTTTTGTCTCTGTTCATTGAATGACAAATGGCATTTGAGTGATAGGAATACAACAAGGCGTAACTAGTCTGAGCTTATTAATAAGGTAAGAGTTTCACAGCTGATAACGCGATTCGAGCTCTTCTTACTACTTCTCTCATAGTCTCCATCTGGAGTTACGATTGAAACGAGGTAAATAAATTCCTGTGCGGTTTCCAAGTCAGATAAGTCCTGTCTTATTTTTGAGACTTTCACTCTGTCGATAAACATTTCATTATCGTTAGCTACAATAATGTTGTTGTCATCTGCAAAGTCAAGAGGTAGTAGTCCGAGAATCTTTATGCTACCATCCAAATAAAATTCTCTGCACTTTTCAATCATCTGTCTCATGACAAAGATCTGCTAGGGATTTGACTTCAAATGTAAAGTTCTAATCGGCTGTTGATAATATGCAGCTGTATTTTACTTGCGTGAGATATGATTGAGAAAGGGTTGATAATCCTCACGATGGATATGTGGTTCTTAACCAGGGATGTTACGGAGCTTCGACTCCGACTCCGATAAGGCGGAACTTCCGGTTATTATTACACCTTCGGTTCCGACTTCGGCTGCGAAACTTTTAAATCGGAGGTCAAAGCATAGCAAATAGTGATGGAGGTCTGCGTTGATCGTTACGAACTGGTTCATACCCGTCGCGTTGGTACTCTGTGTTAATAATAAGTAAATTTATATGAAAAAAAGGGTAGACTGAATGAAGTTTTTATTTGTTCTTAAATGAAAAATATATCTCTTGTGACCACTGCTGACTCTGCCGCTGACCCCGACTCTGCCTCCGCCTCCGGTTCCGATTCCAATAAATCAAATTAAAAAACTCCGACTTAGGTTTAGATAAATTTACCTCCGTTACATCCCTGTTCTTTACAATATTATGAGCTTCCTTCTACGATTGCTGACAATACTGATGCCATCTTTTTAGTACCTAGATATTTATCAACTAGTCCCACTCTCTCGACTCTGACCAATGCCAACGCTTTGCAAAAATATCCCTATTGACTACTGAGCTAAGGAGTTTGCGGTTTTGTTTTCGGCAAACACAGAGCGTAACCTGCTTTCTTTGTAACTTGTTTGCTGATTTAGAAGGGTCTATTTTAAGATAACTCAGACGTGGGTCGACCAACCTTCTATATATTTTCTCCATTAATGCAGGATCAATGCACTTATATTGTGATCTACTTTTCTGTAACCTTCGCCGGATTTTTAATGTCGCTAAGGCGGATTTTGGTGAAGAATACAGAAAACATTAGTTTTATCTATAAGTTGAAATATCAAAAGGTGAAAGATAGCTACTAATTCTTTTTTTAAGGAAAATTCACTTTAATTTGATTAGTACACCTTTAATGAAACTATGTATATTTATTAACATAAACAAATACATAACGTTTTTTGTTTATTTATATGTTTAGGGCATAAGCTTAAGCTGATAAAAACCGATCTGCGAACGACAAATATCGCAATATATATTGATAAACTTGGCAACTTTGTCAATAAAAATGAAATTGCTATCAACTTCGATAACTTAATAAAACATTTTGCCTATAGAAAGGCTAGAAAATTAAAATTGTATTAGTATTTTCATTATATCCCCTTTGCTTTTTTTCGTATAGGTTTAAATTACAGATAGGGGGCGCCGCAAAAATCTCGCCCAGGACACCGGTAATACTAAAACCGGCCCAGTTGGGAAGCTCTTATAAAGCTTCGAGCATAAACTTAGTCATTCTGCTTTTAAAACATTGCTCAATAGTAAAAAAAATCTCGCCAGTATTATTATTATCTATGTTCCCTTTGCGTATCGCATAAAATTGGTTTTGATTTTATCACCCTTTTCATTTTTAACTGATAACCAGTGCGTCACTACAGGCTGCAAGTCCTAAGTCATCGTGTAAAATACGCGACATGGTTCTAGGTGCAAGGTGCCAGAGTTAAAATCTTTTGCATTCAGGCAGGATTTCTTCGAATTCTTTCCTTCACTGCTTTGATCGCCTTTTTCGTACATATACTGGACTGCCAGATCTTTTTCTGTCACAAACAGTTCAAGGAGGTTTCATTGTACCTATCAATAGGCTAGTGCACAAACACTCGACTACTACGAAACAGATTATCATAATAACATTATTATTACAACATGTTAGTATTATTATATTATTGTACCTATCAATAGCCCAGTGCACAAACACTCGACTACTACGAAACAGATTAAGAGTTTCAAAAGTGCATTTGACTCCATACCTACTTTGTGTAATGCAGTTCTCCTTATCTCCCTACTCCATTTTAACATCACGTAGATATTTAAGAACGCTTGGCGCGAAAATGAGAAAACACGATATTTTATCTCTCTAGTATTTTAACAATAGTCAAATTTTACTATGATTTTAACAACGCGACCTAAGTATAATTTATAAACTGGTACTACCTAGTTTGAAACATTATGATAAATACTGGATAATTCAAAAGAGCTTGTAAGTCAATTTAAGTGTAGCTTAAGTTCATTTTGTACGAATATTAATGCTGTGTTTTGAAGTTTGCTAATAGATTTATGATAAGACCAAACAATAAATTAAAGATATATATATATATATATATAGCTGATAGCAGCGGTAGGCGCAGGTTCGCAGTCTGTCTAAAACCTAGTCAGAGTGGATTTTTTATAATGAAAATTTCTTTCGATTTATAATTTAGCAGTTTAATGTTTAAAACACTAATAAATTTATAATATATGCCTTAAATTCGCCATTATCTAATTTAAATTTTAATAAGCATTCGACAGACTTGCCTATGTTTTAAATGAGAAGCAATCCTAGACGAATAGAAAAAATACAATATTTTTCCCCTTTTCCAATCCTATTAAAAAATATTGTTAAAGGTTAATATGGGATTTGTAATTATTCCTCCATCAACCTTAATGAAGAATTACAATACCTGTATCTAATCAACGTAATATGAAAGAATTAAAATAAGACAGCAATGCTGTAGACGTACAAAGTAGGTTCTACCAATACTCCCACCCAATTCCAATAAAGAACCGTCTCACAACTCGGAAGATCCATAATTTACATTAAAGAAAACATTGATACATTTGCCGTATGTACAAAAACAAATTTGTTATTGGTTTTAATGTTTGGTCAATTATTTGATTTCTGATCTCAGGATTTTTAAGAGATTGAGGTAAATTTAACGAGCTCTGCAGAAGTTTTTTATTGCTTGAGATTGACAGACCAATGAGGCTAATATAAAACATCATACTCGTACATTAGCAGTGTTAAACTTTATTATTAAAGAATCTCAACTATACACTGATTGATTGTACAGTTCGTAAACCTACAGATTCACAAAAACTAGAGGCTTAAGAAAACTACAATAATTACTTGTTATATTAAGACAACCATGATTTAGTTATATAAACGACCATAATGTACTCAAATTATTTTCATCTTGCAGAATTTGAAGCGGTCGTTTACCAATGTCACGATCAACAATACATTTATATGGAAGTATTTTCTACCATTTTCACAATTCACAAATATGTTAATAAATATGTTTTCAGCTTTACCGCATTTGCATAAAAATAAAAGTTGCAGCTGCGTCAGCGAAAACAGTATATGTGACATCATCGCTCTGTGAATAACGCAAGAGATAATGATCACTATATCGAGTACGTATTGTTAGCCACATATTTTGGGTTATTTTTTATTTGTGTAATTCTTTTGTGAAGATGCCAAACTGATTCGTTCTGATGCTATAATCGAAAATACGGGATGTTCCAGAGTGTGTTTTATATCATGACCTAAATGTATTGGAAGCTTGACAAATTGTACACCTAAATCGATTAGGGAAAGATTTTGAATAAAAATTTTGTATTATAAGAAAATTATTATAAATATAAATCTTAAACAGTACTTAATTATAAAGAGTCAAAAAATATACCAAAGCAAAATAATGTAACAGAACTATAAATCTACGAAACCAAATTGCGCTATGGCAAAGAAACCCATTGTCACTTTCCATAACAATCAACAACATGAGAAAGTGTGGGTAAATCTGATCTCTTTTGTTCTGATCGAACAGATAGAGAAAGATCTTTAAAACTATAATTGTATCGACCAATATTAAAGAATAATTTTTTTACGTGCCCAACGTCAACACTAAACTGAGCACTAAAATGGCCTTACAGAGGTCAGTAAGATAAGGTCGCGCCAACATGCCAAAGGCTGACTTATTTTCAAGTCGACAACTAGAGGTCAATCCTGTTGCCTGTCCAGCCGTATTTGGAAGCCTCAATAAGGAAGCAGATAACCATTGAAATATAAAAGTTAAAATTTGATGAACTGAAGAATTCTAAAAAAAATATTATGTTCCGCAACAAACTCGCGGACTAAACCAAATAGTGACGTGACCAAATAAATCATAACCACTCCTAGTAGCGTGATAGTATAAATTTTGTTTCATCATTTAACATTATTTTGTATACTCAGAAGTCACAACATATAACTACTACAAATAAGGAAAATGGAAAAACAGTTGTAAATTTATGGTAACAGCAATGATTTTCTAAAAATTTTCAGAAGATTTATAATAAATACATTCCTTTAATTAATCAAGAATGGATGGTATAAGGTACAGATATTCACACAATTGAAACATTAGGTACAACTAATGTTCGCGTGAGTAGTCGTGATCTATAGTTATGATTGGTATACATAATCTTAAGGCCAATACAAGAACTATGCATGACTCGCGCTTATTTAGCAAAGCTAGCATTGTCAGGAATGTAGTGAATGTTATAAGATTAGAGGAGAAATAAGGATGCTGACCGGCTACAGCTGCAACTTCCTTCGCTCCCACGTGTAAGAAGTCAGTGAGCGACAAAGAGCTTGCGATCATTTGCCTTCTCTCCTGGAAATCTAGTTGGTCTAGGCTGATGGTCCTAGTCCCGCGCACCGCCTGAGCGGGCGCGCTCAGAGACATATCAACTACACTTCGCCATGTCACATGCGTAACATCTTCAAACTGTCACAAAACACTTTTTAAGCACCAACAAAGACACACGCGAAGCCGGTATTTATGAACTGTGATTACGAGACAATCATAGCTGAGTGCCTGCGCCGCGAGGAACGCACAACGGCGGACTGGCGCGCGAGCCGATGACGGCGAGGGGCAGGGTGGGGGCCCGCCTGCCTCTGTCCCTCCTGCATGTTGAAATGCACTCGACTCGCCTCACTGCGTGCCCGTGGCGGGTCTCCACTCGCGACGTCACGTCAACAGCGACCGAGACGACAGCGATGCGGTGCACTGCACAATACCCTATACCCGTTTTGCTTCATTTGTACTTCCAAGTTTTTAGTCTGTACACAGTCTCCAGATAATAAAGCGGGCTCTATCATTGAAACACTGAAGGTTCTGCGTGTTTTAACTTTTGAGAAGTGTTCTTTTAATCGATTCAAATCACAGTCGGCCTCGATCATATCGTTACGTAATAAATTACCTAAGGAGGGAAATATAAATCTGTAAGTTTTTTAAAAACTGCCATAAAATTGTCTAATGTCATAGAATAATAGTTAAAACGTGACATAAAAGCATAATCATAAAGATTATTTACAGAAGGTACTTTTGTACTGTTTGAAAGTAAACGTTGATGTTACGTTCGTTACATTCACAGAGCGACATTGCATGGCGGAGCTATTAGTATTCATTGTATGGCAGCATTGGCAGCAGACAAGCCAGTATCGTTCGTGTGCAAGTGTGCAGCCCACGTGAGCCCCGCACCCCCTTGTCTAGGGGCAGGTGCAGGATCGACACCCCGCAGCCCTTTGCGATTAGCGACCGCGATTTTACACAATAAACTACCTGGACTCCGTTGTAGTTAACTACGTTTCACTGACATAAAAACTTTTTGTGAGTCAGGTTACGAATTTAAACAGTATCTGAACAAAAAAAACTCGCTTTTCATCAGAATGCGTTCGCTCGTCTCAGAGCGAGTAAATATATTCAACATGCACCATGCAACATTATTTTGTAGAAAGTCTTCAAACCACAAACAATAATATGTATATGTACTTATCTAATTTATATTCGAAACTTTTAAGATAAATTTATATGGTTAATCTATAATAATATTATAAAGAGGAAAGATTTGATTGTTTGTTTGTATTGAATAGGCAGCGAAACTACTTAACCGATTTGAAAAATTCTTTCACATTTAAAATTCTACATTATCCTTCATGCACATGGACTATAGAGTATTTTCAAAAAAGGTTAGGGTTCCGTATGAAAACTTCGATAATGTAACACAATGTGTGTAAAAATAAAGTTATATCGCGTACGCTGCGGAAGTCATTGACAATAGAGTAAAGAATTGTTCTATTTTTTTTATAGAGAACATCAATATCTCCACTATACATTATGTCTAAGTATTAAAATTATGTCACAACTAGAGGTCCTGTGAGGTTTCATACGCGTCAATTTGAGGAAAAAGGTTATAGTGAGTCAAACTTAAAGATTCAAATTTGCAAAGTCTAAGCACAGAATTACTTGTTACTTGTAACATTTCTTGGGATAGTTGGGCTCAAAAATACCAAAAATAAACAAAAATTTTATAACTAAAGACATCTAGTGTGGAGATTCAATAAGCATTTACAAAAAAAAGCAAAACTTAGAGGCCTAATATAACTACTTATAATTCTATGGGTAATTTCCTTTCTTTTACATTTATACTTATTAGTCTAATTTTCGAGGAGGAAATCGTCGAGAGCAAAACCCCGAATTTTGTTATTTTTAAACGCAATTGTCAGCGTTAGCTACTGTTGTCCTTATCGCTCGGTATTTATCAATGCGTGACAGCAATAGTTTTTTCAAATACAGTAAAAGCTCCTTATTCACGTTTCCTATATTCGCGTTTTCACTATTCGCGGATTAAAAACTTACGACCAAATCCCCATATTCGCGGTAAACAATTTCGTTATTCGCGGATCTAATCAAAATATAAAGGATATGGTTACCTTTGTTAACGCATCGGCAGATGGAGTAATTATAAAATATATAAAATAGACCTTATTTTAATTAGTCTACGGTATGTTGTCAAATGCTATCGCCGGTGCATAAGATGGTTTCGCCTTTTCTTTTGATATGAGACGCTGTTTGAGATAGCAAACAATCAGAATAATGTTTATGTAAAACAATCTTATTATTATATGCATAAAATATATTGTTATATGTATTAGTATCATATCATATGATAATATCACATATGTAAGTTAGGCGCTCCGCCATATCCGCTTTGCGTGGTTTACTCACTCCTCTTTTCATTCATTCCAAAAATTGTGATCAAGTAACTCGTCTCTTCCGCTGTGCTCTTAAATTATAATTTCGACAAAGATAAAATTAGTTTCGACGTGATAAATATCAGTTTTACCGTTTACATTAACAGTTCTTTAAACGCTTGCTTAAGCCGGACAAAAATTAATTTCAATTCATTGATTAGTTAAAAATATAGTTGTTTTTTGGTCGCTTTGGAACGTATCCCCTATAATTTCATATAAATTACCACTCCATATTCACGGTTTCTGTATTCGCGGCATATTTCTGGAACGTATACGCCGCGAATAAGGAACTTTTACTGTACCTATTTCTCAAATGTCTCTCTCTTGCATCCGCTCTTAATGATTCAAAACCTGTATTCCTAAATAGCACGAGTTGCAATTGGCAATTTGAAAGAAATTATAAAGATCTATTACCGCCCCTCTCATATAATACATACATATTTATATTGTTTTATAACTCTTATTTGTAGATTTTAATTTGTGTTAATATTAAAAAAAGAAATACAGACTGTCAGGAGAACTAATTAATTATTTGGAGCAAAATGAAAACTCTATATGTATGATTGACAATCATTGTTTGATTTTGATTCGGTTGTAAGTTCTAAGCACCGCTCAACACTCTACAGTATCGAAACATGTTTTACAGTCGAATTCCATCATGGCACGTTAAATACATCAACGTAAATATTTGACTTACGGAACTCTTCCACGTCAATAGTCCCAGAATCACTTCTTGTATCATCATCTATTGGCCTTCGCCATTGTTTAATTTTAAGATTTATATCATTCATTTTGATTCATCACTAACTAACACTATTGTAACACACTAGGCCCAACATCATTGACATCACTTGGGTGTATATACGGATTGGAAGTCAATTCATAACTAAGACATTATTCAGTCTTTTCGATAAGATAACAGCCGATAGTGAATGCTTATCAAATTGTTTTTCTGTGAGCTGACAAAATACCTGTGGAATATTAAATGTTAGGCAATCAACATTCCTTAATAGAAAACAGTTCAGAACAATATATCTTAAATACTTTAATAGTGTTGATCATGTGACGATGATAGTGTTAGCAGAATTCATCTTTTCCATAACTTACAACTCTTTAATATGTTAAGGGTATCTCGTATCAATGCAACAAAAAAGTTAAACAAAATAAACCAAGGGCAAATAAGAAAAAAAACATGTATCATCTTGGTTGAATAGTCTCATTGAGCAGAATTAACTTTAAATGGATGAAGCGTGTAGCCTTTCTTTATTTATAGAGCCTATTGCCCTAAAAAACAAGCCAACCATGAGTTTCATGCCTGAAACCTGCGTAGCGTATAATGCATGCATTGAAGCCTAAAAAACTGAACACGTAGGTAAATTATATTTATTCAGGTAAAAAAATGTTATTAGGTTGAAAGACTTTAAGGTTAGTAAAATATGTTTTTACTATTTACTAGATTAAATATTTTGGGACGACCATTGAACAAACACGGATTAAAAGACACATTTCAGTCGACTCTAAGAAAAGATTCAAGTACATATCTAATTTTGGATAAGATCGAGAAAACTTATATTATAAGTTCAGTGATTCATTGTATCTAACAGAAAATTCATGCTCGTAACTAATCTCTAATTCACAACGATCATAATACAGAATGAATGTAGGTACGCTCACCTCTAGTGTATATGGGGAAATCGCCGTCGGATCGGCTGTGGGTAAGCATGGGTCCGTAGCACCGCCACGGCGGCCTTTCGCGCGGCGCCCGCGGGCCCTCCACGGCCGCTCACCTACACCAGGCCATCACCACATAAGCTTGGCACGGAGGCCCACGACTACGTAATAAATACTCGGCGTGGCGTCCACTCACGAGCCTAGCATCAACTCTGCGATGGCGGCGCCACGGAGTCGGGAGCGTACGGAGGCTGCGCGGCGCATCTCACTCCCGCACCTCGCACCCTCCGATTCCCGTGCCCGGTGCTCGCCATAGTCGAGCCGGCGTTTTTACCCCATGATAATAATATGTCGAGGTTTACATAGACTATTGCTTTATTTGTATTTGGTGGGTACGACAGATTTTACGATACTCTTATTTTGTTACAAAATAATAATTATCAAATAGTTTTTTTTTTGTATCTAAATGTACCCTATACGTTTCTTCCTATGCAAGTAGTTAGATTATCAAACGTATCAATAAATTCGATCTCTTTAATCGATGCTTTGATTTCGATGTAGATTTACAGCACAAACAGTAGCGGATTTACCAGCAGGCCTAGGGCGGCAAATTTAGGAACCGAATTTGTATTTCCTATGTCACAGAAATCAAAAAGATTTTTGCGTGATGGGTTTCTATGTTAGAAGCATGGCTGCAACAAATTTTGCCGATGACTTTTCTATCACACTTGTCATTGCACATTCCGAGAGTAGCAAACTTCCAGAGTAAAACAGCTAGTTTGCCGCCCCCCAACCGGTAATCGGCCTCTGCGCCCTCTGCTCACAAGTTGTATGAGTGAAAAGAGCAAAATCGTAGAAAATGTATTTCCCTCTTCCCACTATCAACCCAAACATGCTAGTTCAGTTGGTGGCTGTGAACTGGATGGTATGTACATAATTTTGTGATTTTATTTCGAATATAGGAAATCATTTTTAAAAATTAGCTGAGATCAACCTTGAGCCATCAAAAATTAAACGCTTTAGCTCTTTTGTGATAGAGTCGAAACTTATGAACAAGATTACTTACGACTATAATCATAGATGATTTTTCCAACAAAAGGTATTTTAACGAAGATTTATAACTTGATGGAGTTAATTATTTTTAATTGTCAGTAAGCGCAATAATGTTTATTTACTCACGTTCCCCAAATGCCCCAAAATAAATGTTCATTATTTTGTAAGTAACTTAGATTACCCCGCTCGTACATGATTGAGCTTTTAGGTCAAAAATGTACCGAAAGAATATTTTACGTGCAATTTCAACAAAATTGATGCATTGTAAAAATAATGTAAAACAATTGTAAAGGCAAGGGCAGCAAAAACTGTACAGCCTTATAACCTTGACAATTTGTAAATCCGACACTGAGCACAAAACCTCTTTAATCTGTATTATACGAACGAGGCGAGTAACAATGTGCACGATCAGCATATTAATGTTCCCACTGCATGGTCATGCAGCCTTCCCATGAATGGAATAGGGAGACCAGGCCGAGACCCACCGCGCGGACCCAGTGCGGATTGTTGGGTGCTAACGACAACAGATGCAGCCGGGACCAACGACTTAACGTGCTCTCCGAAGTACAGTGAAGGACGAGATAATAAGTTTTTGGTCACCCATCCAATGACCGACCATTCGTAAGTTGCTTAACTATCACGATCGCAAGCCGAATGCGCTAATCACCTGCGCCATCGAACTCCTCTATAGGTAGTAGTAACAGAAAGTAGAACCTACTATCATAATAATCTATTAGTTTTAAGCAAGCCATAAATATCCCTTGTGGGATTGACAGAATGCCGAAGTGTGGCACTATGAGATAGATAAAAGTACTTCACATATAGACAATGCCGTCTTCGACCTACTAGAAGCCCTGGGCATATTAGGATAATCGGGCCCCTGTCTTCCGTTTGATGATTTAACAGGAACTAGGGACTTTGTATTTGTTCCGAGGGGGCCCCCTATCGATCGCGGGGCCCTGGGCACTTGCCCAAAGTGCCCACTGGGAAAGACGGGTCTGCATATAGATATGTAAATTTTACTCCTTCCGTGGTCCCTTTTATTTCTTATTTGGAAAAAATTGTTTAGCTTGTGTCATACTGACACTTGTTTAAAGCTTTGAAAGGGGATAGCGGAAAGACCGATAGGCAGTTAGACAATAGCTCCCTGATCCATAACACAATAGTGACAGGCAGCCAGCAGATTATCATACTATTGCATTACCCATTTCCGAAATTTCTGAAAACTGATAGGCTCAAATCTAAAGAAAGTTTTACTAGAAAAAATACACGCGGCCAGCAACAGACGAGCCTCGAAGCAGCACCCTCCGCTATTCGGGCGGATGCACTGACAAATTATTATATTATAAGCATTTAAGCTTAAAATATAACTGATAAGCTCATTCTATATCTGTTTTAAAAGTTTTCAGCTAGCCATTCTATGTTTTCATTCACTCTCAATCCTGCGTTATGTCACGATAGTATTTTATCGGTTCACACGAAACACAAGAAAACTCTGTAACATGGTTTTATTGTAACTGACGTGAGCACAGCATATCTGCCAGCATAATGTTTGCTGTTGTGACTATTTATTGGTCATTATCATAAAATTTCCGCCTTGTCTATTTCACCGACCTAACTATCAAGAAAAATTGCCTCATAAGCAGTATACTGCACCACTACCATGGACGTATAAAAAAAGGCGGACAGAGTTTCGGCTAAGACAATACTGAGGCACCGTAATGGCGGCGGCTATTGATGAATGATGAGTGAGTGAATTGTAGGGTTGCTAGGTTAGCTAATTTTTTACCAATAAAACACAGTAAAAACATGAAAATATTTTGATTGTTCAAAATTTTACTTTTTGCCCGACTGCGGAGGATAATGTTTTTCGAGCGTATGTATGCATGTATGTATGTATGTATGTCCAATAATTTGGCACGCCCTACAGCCTGAACGTCTTGACGGATTTTGAAATGCGAGGTGTCATTTGATTTGTCGTGATTGTGTGAGTGGCACTCGGTATATTAAAATTTCAAAAAATCAAAATAACAGATTTTATGCGCCAAAATGAAACATTTTGATTTTTTTCAAAATGGTTTAAGTATTTTTATAACCCGTCAAGCGAGGTATCAAAGTGAAGGGCTTTAAAAGAATATTTAGAAAATATACAACTCGTGTAATTAAAAAATAATGAAATTAAAATGTCAAAAATAAAAAAAATGTACTAAAAAGAAAAAAAAACAAGTCCAGTAGTCTAGAATTCTGTTTAATAAGGAACAAAGTTACTTTAACAGTCGGGACTCATTAGAAATTCTAGAATGTATCGAATTTTCTCAATATTGGGTAAATCAACTAAATATACATGGCCTGGCCTGCATACTCTTTCATATTTCTTAAAATAAACTAACACCCATTGAGTACTGTTTGTAATTGAGGAGTTCCATTGTTTTCCTCCGAAAGTACTCATCGGATCTCCAGTAAACTAATATGCAGCCATCTCGCTAGTAAACTGATTAAAACAAAAAAAGAATCATCATAAACGGTCCACGAATCTCGGAGATCTGCGCGAACAACAATAAAAAAAACAAATATGACGCATTGCGAACCTCTTTCTTTTCGAAGTCGGTTAAAAATTTTAATCAACCTCTTAAAGGTAATGCATACGTAATAACACGCCGGAGTCCTCCTTTAGTTGTATATGTCTTGCTTCAAAATGAAGACTAAAAATGACACTACACATATTTGTTTGGAAATCATTCATTTTAAAGTAATTTCTCCATACTACATTTTCTTTAGGAAATCTGATAAAAAAGAATAATAAATAATAGATTGAAGTTAATGTCAACCCAAATACCCAAATTTTAGGTAATATGGTTACATGAACATTGACAACACTGGGCTTTAGACTAATCATTTTGTCCTTAGAATTAAAATTGATTTCGATTTATAAAAACTAGAAAAAAGTGATTCAATTATTCATTTACCTATGAAAAGTGATTCCTGGATTTTTTTTCTTTCGGTCACTACGGTTTTTACACCTTTTTACAAGCAAGATATCTTGTTTAGCTTATTTTTTATCTCCACGTAACGTGTCGGCTGCTTTGACGTTTGCACGCGTAGTGGCTGACTATTGTGTGAATGTGTGCGTGCCGGCTTGTACGTACAGCGACCTGGCCGACTCTGAGCGACACAGTTTATTGTTTACCGGGACTCTGTCCGCCTTTTTTTATAAGTCCATAACCACTACACAAATGCTAATGTTGAGTAAATAGACTAAATAACAGGAAGAAGCAACTGTTAAAATTTTATTAAAAAAAACCGGTCAAGTGCGAGTCGGACTCGCGCACC